TTATATTGCCGTCGACCTAAGCCCGTGCCACCCCAACGCTTGCCCAAAAAGGAATCATGGACTGTCGGCAATTAATCAAAGGTCGATCCGGTTCGTCGCTCGCGTCATCGCGACATGAGCGACTTCTTTTGACGACCGATTTTTCGATAACACTATCTTGTGCCGATGATTATATCAATTTTGGCCAGCGTTACACTTCTGAAGTTTGCATCTTCTCAAGGAGCATATTATCCCAATCATTGGTATGGGGCCAATTCAGTAAGTCTCAATTCTGCGTTGAAGCTTGACTTCATTGATCTGATTCCCTTATTTGTTTTGAAGGCGAACATGATAAACTGAATGGCCGACCTGATTCTATTGAAGTCCCAACTCGGCCAGTTACTCACATCTTTGGCAGCACAGATGTTAAGGATGAAAGTAGCGAAAGCGGTCAAAGCGATCATGTCCTAACGCCCTTTTCCCGCACTTTCGAGCTGCGAGAATGGAACATCTGCGAGTTCCGTGGACAGCTCTGCCTTCCCTAAGAATGGCTGATTCACCTGAGCTCAGCTCACTGTGGGGCATGCTTTTCGTCCGCTGATCGCGATTAGGCTCTCCTCTGTAGGACCCCTAAGCACATTCGCGACTAGGAACTGCGCGAGAACAGAGATTGTGCCTTCGCTGAACCGCTGCGACCGCTGCCATTTCCATCAGTCGCAGCATCTGCGTCATCACGCGCACGACGTGTTCTCTAACGTTTTCTTTTTCCTCTCCCCGCATCGCTGTGTCTCTCGACACCAGTCGATCTTACAAAGGGAATCCCAGTATTTTCTATGGAGAATTTTGCTTTTTCACCCATTCACGTTCATCTTCGCACTTCTTGTCTAATTTTCTAGCAGAATGACGCAACAATTCGATCGCGACCCGTGCCTTCAAACAAATAACCTATCGGAAACATTCCGCTAGTGAAATTCATGGTTGTCATCCCTTTCCTCTTTCTATTAAATGAAAAGCGCGCTGGAAACACTCCTTGAAAATTTATAGAAATCCTCGCGCAAAATCTTCTTTTAAATGTGAATTCTTCCAGGCGAATATC